CATAGCATTTGAAGTTTGGTGAAGATTCTTCTTTTTCTTTCCTCTTGCTTTTGAAAGGATGTTTTCCTTTTGATTTCATGAACTTTGTGAACTTCTTGATCATGAGACTCAAGTTCTGATCTTCTTCATTTTCAGAATCTTCTTCTTCCTTCTTATTCTTGTTTTTTGAGACCTCAGTCTTAAAAGCTAATTTTCTCTTGTTATTTTGGCCTTCCTCATCGTTTATTTTTCCTAATTCAAGTTTGTGCTCTCTCAATTTTTTAAAGAGAGTGCCATTGTCATAGTTGCAAGGTTTTGTGACTCTGTGATAGCAGTCACCTTGGGTTGTCATTTCCTGTCCAAAGATTTTAGTATTTTAACATTCAATTCATCAGTATCGAAATTCTTACCAAGCCTAGAGAGATGGTTCACAATGTGTGTGAAACGCTTTTGGACGTCAAAAATTGTTTCTCCTTGTTGCATTCTAAACATTTCATATTCTTGAATCAAGGAGTTATTTCTTGCTCTTTTCACGTTGTCGGTTCCTTCATGAGTCACTCTTAGTATTTCCCGCATTTCTTGAGCACTTTTACAAACTGATATCCTATAAAACTCATCAAAGGTCAAAGCAAATGAAATAATGTTTCTAGCCCTAACATCATAATGGACCTTTCTATTTTCTTCAGCAGTCCATCTAGAAAATGGTTTTGGTTCCTCTACTTCATTTACAATCATTTTAGGAATAAAAAAACCATTTACAACAGCTTCCCAAACACCCCTGTCAACAGACTCCAAAAATATTTGCATGCTAACTTTCTAGAAAGGATAATTTTGACCAACAAAAAGTAGGGGTCTGTTAATAGAGGCACCCTCAGTAAAAGTTTGGTTTTGTCTGACCATTTTTGAAAATTTGAAAAACTATCAAAGCAAGCTCTGATACCACTTATTGGTATCGTGCAACGAAATGTTTGCGTTAAGTCAAAAACCAAGATGGGGGTGAACTGGTTTCTTATAACAATTATCCCTTTAAAAACTTTTCGCAAGATTTTACCGATTAAACGATAATATAATAGAGTACTTGAAAAGTCAAGAGATAAGGGAAGAAGATTACACAAGTAAATTATACTGGTTCGGATCAAAAGACCCTACGTCTAGTTGTTAATCACTCTAAAAGAGAATTAACTCAATCACTAAAATAATAGTTCTCAGATAAACATATTACAAATAAACAAGGATTAGAAAACACCTCTCTTAAGTCACACAAGAGATGAACCTCCTTTAAAGCCACAAAGGATGAAGACAACTTTCCTAGAGACGGCACAACACTCAATCCACTGAGAATCCCACTCAATAATTCTTACTGCCTCTAGTCCACACTAGGTTTCCAAAGCCCATTTTTCTTCCTTACTCAAAGTTCTCCCAGCAATCAAAACTCTCAACTTTAAATAGAGTTTTAGGGTTTTCAATTTTGGGGACTTTCGAAAATTAGGTCAGAAATTCGAAATTTAAATTCATAACTGACACAGATAATCGATTATCATTAGTGATAATCGGTTATCACAGAGCCAAATATGGGAAAACCAGTTTTGTCCAGGATAATCGATTATCACCTAAGATAATCGATTATCAAAGAACCAATTTCGAATTTGGACCCTTAACAGTCAAAGATAATCGATTATTAATAGGTGATAATCGATTATTCCAGTGTGACTTTCAGAAAACTTGAAGTTTAAACAGGATAATCGATTATTCTCAGCAATAATCAATTATTCCAGTGTGTCACTAATAAAAATGAAGCTTTTGTGGACAGACTAAGTATTGGCTATCGTGGACTCTATTTTTACAGACTTAAGAAGACAAAACAGAGTTATTACAAGCAATTTCAACTGAATATAAGTCTTCTAATCTTGAAGTCATTTATTCTTGAATCATCATCAAATTCTTTAGTTATCATATCCTTGTATTTTCAACAACAACAACAACAACAACAATAATAATAATAATAATATAATAATAATAATAATAATAACTAATAATAATAATAATAATAATAATAATAATAATAATAATAATAATCAGTAAAAAAATTGATATCACAACTAATTATTTATAAGTGTGTTTAAACATAATATTTTTTATTTTTTTCTGACTGAAACTGTTGTTATTGATAATGTTTTTCAAATAATTTTTCTAACATATTAGTCAAAATGATACTGACATTATTAAAATGTTTTAAGATGATTATCAACTATTGTTAAAACTTAAAATATCCAATAACAATTGAAATAATAATTGTTGTTTTATTTTTTTAATTATTTTAATATTGGTATTAATAATATTTTTAATATTGATTTAATATTACATTGGTTCATATTATATATTTCCAAAAAGTAGAGATTAATAATAGAAGTCAAAGAGATTTTTTTTACTACAAGAAAACAAATATAACGAGAAGAAGAAAGATGAAACATGCAAAAGACGAAAGACACAACAAGAAACGAAGAGAAAATAAAAGAGATAGCGAAACACAGCTATAGAGAAAAAGAAGCGTAAAGATGTGAAAAAAGAATAACCAAGATAAAAGAGAAAGTGAAAAAAAAAAATATACCATAGAACATATTAAATAGAATCTTCAACAATCATTTTAAAAATCATTGTTGTCGCAGGTAAATAAAACAATAATATTTTGAGATTATCGTTGAAATTTTAATTTAATTACAAAAATATCATTTTGTTTTTTTAACAATAATTTTCAAGTAATTATAAAATCTAAAATAGTAACGATGGAGGACCATTTAAGGAATAATTTAATGGACTTTTAATTAGAAGTATAATCATTTATTAATGGACTTTTAATTAGAAGTTCATCATTTATTGAGTATCTAATTATAACACATGGTTAAAAGAGTTGGAAGGGAAGAAGTTTTTCTAATAGGTCTAATACTCTTTTTAACTTTCTCAGTCTTATAAAAAACTATATAAAATTATAATTTTTTTTTCTGTAAAAATGAGTCATATTCAAAAGAATTAATATGGAGTTATATGAAAACATATAAAGTTATTCCTCAAAATCCACTTACACAATTGGTTACAACATTTAAAAGAATTATAAATTTATAAATATTAAAATATAAATAAAAATGTGTTACGTGAGACTTGAAGGATAGTGTGTATAAATTTATGAAGAATAAAAAATTAGTCTCATGTCCTTTAGACTAGTAAGAAAAAGAGGAACATCTATAGAATCTTGTACTATTTTTCTCAACTTGAGTTGAATGAGCTTTAAAATGTTGATTTGTATATTTGTTTATCCCTTTATTTATCCTTCAGTTCAATTTTGAGAAGATTATCTCTTATAAGAATGAATTTTTCTTGTTTGGGGAACTAGTGTCGAGATTTCTTTTAAAAGAATTTAAAAATATTTTGAGATGTTTTATAAGAAATTATTGTTGAGATTTTTCATAAAAGAACCTCATCACCGGATATGCTGTCTCAAGAAATTCTAAACCCAACTTACCAGACAAACAATCCAACCCTTTGGAACATATTATAGTCTCAAGTGATGAGGAGATGATACAAGGTGTCAATTCTTTTTTTTGATGTGAGCTCTTAGGGAAGATTAACTTAGTATTCTTAATATAACTTTTATCAGATAATCATCAACTCTTCCACTTAACACTGTCGGATCACTAAGACTAATTTTCGTCTTGTTTAATGGATGGTCTTGTCGTCAAACTCTCTTTTTCATATATATATTGTCAAATCTTTCTTTTGATGTGAGCTCTTAAGGAAGATCAGCTTAATATTCTTAAAGTAACTTTTATCCGATGATCGATAACTCTTCCACTTGACACCATCAGATCACTAAGACTGATTTTCGTCTTGTTCAATAGGTGGTTCTTGTCGTCAAACTCTTTTTTTCACACATATATATATATATATATATATATATATATATATATACTTGAAATGAAATAAAAGAATATAAATTTTTTTATTAATAAAATAATTATTAATATAAAGAATTATTTTCATTTTTTAATTTTTTTTAATAGAAACTTGCAAGAAAAATTATTAGAGATGTTCTTATAGTATTAATTCAACTACAGAAGACATATGAATGCTAATCAATGCAAGGATGGATAAAACTATATTAAAAGTCAAATAAAAAAATCATTCATTTTGAAAAATATAAAAATATCTAAACACTGGTTATGTTAGGATTATTAATTATCTGAATTTGATTTTGTTTTAATAGAATGTAAACTTTTTAATGCATGATATAAATATATTATTTTTATGGTTAAATTTGATTCTGAATTTTATATTTTAAAAATTAATTCTCAAACTTTAAATATTATATGAATATTGTATAAGAGTATGAGTCTTAAAATTAAAAATATAAATAACTTTCAATATGAATAATTCACACCATCAATTTGAGTTGAAAATATACGTTCCAAGTGTGGTATTGTGAAAACATTAAAATATGTTTAAAAATGATCAGCAAAAAATATTATACTTTTCTATTCATGTAAAAATATTATTTGTTACTTTACTAATATAAGTTAAAAATTTATTATAATAATTAATTTATATTTTGTAACCTTATTTTTTATTTAACTACAATTTATTTTGTGTTCATAGAATTGTAATCACAATTTAATTATGATAATTAAATTAATTTTTGAAGTTATAAAATATGTAGAGTGAATAAACATTTTATAAAATTTTGAATATTATAAAATCTTATCATTAAAAAACCTTATAAAAGAGTTTTATATGAGATTAGTTAAAATAAAATAATAGTTCATTCCTTTGTATTGTATTTGAGATGATAATATTGGTAAAAAGAAGTTAATGGAGGAGGAGGAGTGTGAAGAGAGGGGCAGGTCTTGTTAGAGAATTTATTGAGAAGTTTAAATGATAAAGCGTAGCATGGAAGTTTCATTACCATTCACTGCTGTGCCTGTGTTGAGATTTTATTGCTCTTGTTGGAGCTGTAACTAGAGCAGTGGGGAATGAAGAGGCTGATGAGGGATGAGTCTTTAATGCAGTCACTAAAGGTTGTGGTGGAATGCGTGTCCCCAAGCACCATCATCACAGAAAAGCAGCTTCACATAAATGTTAACTAATAAAATATTTCAAACTTATTATCTTTCCGCGTTTTGAGGTGGACTTTGGTTTCATCAACCAACACTGACCAGACCCTGCTCCTTCTTCCATCTTCCAAGGGTTACTAGTATTCCACTTCATTGTCCATTTCAGGTTTATTGTGTTGGTTATTAGCAGTACTTGACAACATGAAGGTTTCTGGTTTTTTTGCCTTGCTCTTGGTCGTTGTAGCAACTGTGATGTTCTTTAACATCTTAAGTCCCACTCATGTCTCTTGGATACCTGGTATATATCTTCTTTCCTTTATTACTATTTGCTGCAACACTTTATTTCATTGAAGAAAATTGGTTAGATCTCTTCCAATAATGCAAAAATCTTCAATTTCTTTGCAAGTGTCTTTTTATCACCACCATGTAAGACAAACATCGGTTAAAGACACATGGGGTGTTTTGAATTTTATGTTTAAACTTGTGTTTCTTCCCTTTGATCTATTTTTTTTACTTTGGAGGGATAGTGCATGCATGCATTAGTGTTGGCAGCTTCCAATCATCCACAAAAACTCCTGGAAAAATCTCATTTTTTGTTTTTTTTCCTTTTGTATATGATTTTCTGTAGTTTACAAACTATTTTTGTTATTATTTTGTTGATTGTTTTCTCACAGCCAACATGAGCCACTGAGTTGAGACTTGAGACAACTTACATTCTGCGCCAAACATAAGTCCTTGAATTGTACGAGTAATTCATGATTTGACATCATGAAATTCATTTTTATAGTTTTCTTGATTAGGAGAAAAGAGTTTATAAGTTTTAAACATATACACTCTTGTTTCTTCAAAATTCTGTAATTGGCGATTTTTTCTATGTAAATAGATGGATTAAGAAAAAAAGATTTTTATAAATTATTCTTAATCTTGGTTCTTAAATCCACATGGATCTTATGAACAAATTTGATATAAGATGTGTTAGATATTTATAACATGTTTAAATAAGTATCTTTTTAAATAAGAAAAATAAAATAGAAAAAATGGAAAAGAGTTTTTAATAAGTTATAAGTAATTTCATATCTAAAAGTTTTGTTAAATGATTTTTCTAAGTTTTTATTTTAACCATACAAACTTAAATTTTTTTGTGGAGAAACTCTTCTAAAAGTGTTTATGGAAAATCTCTTCTGTAAGAGACTGATTAAGTTCCTCTTAACTTCATCTGCATTTGATAATGTGCATGGTAATAAAATACAATCAAAACGTTGCATGTCTTAATTAAACTTATTTCCTATTTGCATACTCTTTGTAACGTTCTAGAAGTGTTTTTTAACATTCCGGAAGTCTTTGACAATGGAGATCGAGGACTTTGTCTTGATAATATATTGTTAGATTGTTCACAGCGTGATGACTTTATGTATATAACCTGACACATTTTTAATACCATTTCAGATTTGATTGAGACGAACTGTGGTGATAAAGCCACATTCATTGCAGTAAGCAGGAAACTGAAGGTACACGAATGCTTTATATATATTACTTGGACTTAAGCTCTGGCCCTTGCCTTGACCATGATATCAAAACCTAATTTGATGTTAATGATAACTACCTTTAAAGTAATACGTAGGATGAATTTTACATCTTCATGATAGTGTAAAACTTTTTACTAAAACAAATGCATGAAAATTAAACTCTTACAGTGAGATCACAATTTATTTCAGTTGAATTGTGTCTTATAAGTGTTTTCTTTGAATTTCAGGAAAATGGAAATAGTATCAAAAGTGGCATTAAAAATGTGGGTGGTATGGGTAAAGTGAATCTGAATGATTACAATCCCATTGATCCATCGCCAACAACTTCATCAAAGGCTTTAAATCCAGGACCTATTGAGCATGGAACCCCTCTCAATCCATACATCCCAAAACCATCACCTCCTGATCATCCTAAACCCGGAGATGCTGGAGATTCTGGCTAACTCTTGCTGGTTTCTTGAAGCATGTTAATAGACTATGCTCAACAAAATAGTAATGCTATTCACACTCTTTTTAACATATTTCCCATTATGGGGAAATAAGAAATTGTTCAAGAGTATGTGTTGGTAGCATTACTCATGCTGAATAAAGAGACATTTATCGCGCGTTGTTTAGTTGTTGTTTTTTTTTTTTTTTTTTGCGGATTGTTGTGCTTATATTGTGTGCCAGAGCGTAATCCTTGTTTTCCCATGTGCTAGTTGTGAAGAGTTTATGCCTTTGAGCATCCTGTAGTGACCAATGTGCGAAATTATAAGAATCGGATCCCTATTTTAATTTCTGTTTGTGCCACTTCAGTAAGTTTATTTTTTCTTTTCTATCAATCTTTCTTCCTTATGAGGTATGAATTTACTTTTGTTTATTATAGATTCTTTATTATTACCTGCAATTGTATACATTCCCAAATTGGATACATAACGTTTGTATCTAATTGAAATTGAGGTAGATGGTCCCAAAAGTAATGGAAGCAATCTAACCAGCCCTGACCCTTTTGATGACCACTACATTTGACTGCAATTTTATCATGATGGGACAGCTATTGTCTTTGATTTTTTTTTTCTTATACTTTTTTTTGCATCAGAATATCAAGTTGGGAAAGAGAGAGATGGTAAATAAGAAGTTAGGCTCACTAATTTTTTAATAAATTTCAGTTAACAATAAAGACTATATAGTGTATGTCATTAGCATTTTTAGATAGGTTAATGTTAGGAGGCTTAAGGATAATTACATAATTTTATTTTTTAACTAGTAGTTTTCAGTTTTTTTATCTGGGAACTTTTAACTCGAACATGACTATTGTTTCATCAATCACTATATTAAAAAGACTAATTTTCTTTTTGTAGTATCATAATTGTTTGTAATCCATGAATTGTGAAGCCAGTATCAATTGTACCAGCCCATCATAATATCATAGTTAGGTGTCATTTTTTTTTTCCAAACAGTAGTCTTTTAACTTTATTAAACTTTTTTTTCCAATAATATTTTTGAATATAGTTTAGAGTGTTTAATGCAAAGTCATTTACATTGAAAATAATCAGAAAAGTAATATAAAGTTAGAGGATATTTTTAACTGAATTTGTAGTAATTAATTTTTTTATGTATATATACTTGAAAAATATAAAGTGAAATATATTAATTTTTTATTTGAAATAAAATGGGTATAACATAGTATGTGCACCTAATTAAGTTACTAAGGACATCTTCAATAAGAGCAACTCATTTGAGTTGCTTCTTATATTGAAAAATGTAAAAGAAGGTGATGGAGGACCACGGCATATTGGACCTATAACTAGGGTCATGGCTCTAAGGATAAAGGAGAATGAGGTGGCACCACAAATACTCTTCTTATGGACTTTAATTTGAACACCTCAAAATAAACTTGTATTGAATAAATCTTTCTCTTCCTTTTGTAGGGTCCCAAAAATGCACACACAAGTCTGTGGAGTGCACCAAACCAACAACAACCGAGTCATAGGAGCACACCAAGGACACCACACGACCAAGCTCTCCTCTTTGTCATCTTAGATGCACCTCAAATAAGCTTTGGAGTATATAAATACTTGAGGAGACCTTCTCTTGTTCGATATGGAACTTAGAAGAAGAAGACAATATAAAAGAGAAGTTATCATAGTCCAAGAAGGTGTGTAACCAAAAGTCATTCAATTAAGCCACCATGGTGGTCGCACCAAACTCACGGTCAAGACTCATTCACACGGTCAAGGCTGCACCAACACAAGTGTTTGTAACCCATTGTGTTCAATATGGTATATAAACTCTTAGGGAAGCATAGAAAAGAAGAATGTGGGACTTCTAGAGCCCAATTTCGGCACCTCACATAAGAGTAGAATAAATCTCACATCTCTAAATACTTAAAGTGGATGAGAAGGAAAACACTATAAATATGAGTACCCCTTTGTTTACTTAGCTTTCAATTTTATAATCTTTCATGTTGTATTAGATAGTCATGTTTAGTCCTTATATATTCATAATTCCATAGAAGTTGTCCCACATGTGTTAGAAAAACAAAAATTTTGTTGAAGAAAATTGAAACTGAGTTTATGCTAGGAACCAAACGAATTATGTGTATGTGCGGTTTGTACATTTGAGTATTCTTTTGCTATTAGATCATTGACAAAATTCTAAACATAAAATTATTGTACAAATCGAGACTAGTCTAGACTTCTTTTGAATTTTGCAAGTTGAATCAATTGTTGATAATGCCATGACAATGTTCAGAATTATGTGAAAATAATACCATGAAATTTGAATTGAAATTGAATTAGTGAAAGAAAAAGGCTAAGTCTCATAAGAACAAAAACAATTGAAATTGTGAAGTTGAAAAAAAAAAGAAATTAAAAGAGAAAAGCTGAGACTTAGTCAAAATAAAGTTTGAAAGATATGTTTGCAGCTTTTGATTAAGTCTCATACCCTTTAAGAGAATAGTGGAATTGAAAATTGCATGTATTAAAATAGACTAAGGGAGTGTATAATTCGGCCAAGCTTAAATTGGGCTTATAAGTGATTCAACTTGAGTCTTTTATTTTTGTAATCCATTCTATATCCATTTTTAGGCTTTTTTTTAGTGTCTTCTTTTAAAATTTGCCAAATTTTCTTACTTGTCTTTTTTTTAGATTTGTTAAGTTTTGTCAAACAATAAATCTAATCATTTGATTGTGTCCATTCCTTGTGTAAGCTTTTCTTGTGTTTTGATTAATTGCATCTCAAAGCTCTTAAGATAAGATAATCGTTTTGTTTTTCCCTTGTTCTCTTGGAAGCTCACTTCTTCTTCAAGGTAGCATCTTAGGTGTTGTTAAGAAGAAAAGAGAAGGTTGTCTTTGAAGGAGCTTAGAAGCCAAAGTCGGACACAAGAAGAGTGTAAACATAAACCAGAAAGGAGCCTTCAAGTTGTGACGGAAAGTTTTCCAAATCTTTCACAAAACCAAATAGTCGTGAACCATTTTCGTCGCAAAAGACTTATTACTACAAATTTCAGTCGCTTATTTCCTTTGTTAATTTTTGTCACGGATTTGTCTTGTTGTAATTTTTTCTGTACTTTAAATTTTCTTGGGTGTCTTGGGAAAATGTCTTTGTACAATCCCATCTCCCACTTTAAACATATTACACATTTTAGTCTTGTGAAAGTATCCCAAGAGGCTCATTAAGTGTCACTTGGACTTTCACCCTAGGGTTCGTCTAGTTTACTTTTTGTTAAACTTTTGCAAGACCTGTCAAGACATTTTAATACTTTGATATTCAATTCTTCCTTATCAAAAATCTTACCAAGTCCCATTAAATGATTGATGATGTGAGTGAAGCGCTTCTGCACATCTGCAATACTTTCTTCAGATTGTATTTTGAACAATTCATATTCTCTTATGAGAGTATGTTTCCTAGCTCTTTTGACATTAGTTGTCCCTTCATGGGTAACCTCAAAAACTTCCCAAATTTCCTTTGCAGATTTGCATTGAGACACCCTGAAAAATTCATTCATGTTAAGAGCAGATGTAATAATATTCTTAGCAGTGCAATCATTTTGTATTTTTCTCTTTTCTTCATCATTCAAACTGGACCATTCTTTTTCTGTAATAAGTGGACCATTTACAATTATATCCTAAACATTCTTATCAATAGATTCAATAAAGATCTTCATCATGATCTTCCAAAATAGATAATCTGTACCACAAAATAGTGGATGTCTATTTATAGAAGCACCCTCAGAAAAAAGTAATTTGTTTTTAGCCATTGAAAAAAATTTGAACCGAAAGTCTTGAGTGATTTTCAAGACCCTGCTCTGATACCAATTGTTAGAAATGTATGCTGAGATCAAGAGGGGGGTGAATTGATCTTTTGAAACTTTTTTTGTATTTTTAAGAATACAGATTATCTATTTCAAAGATTAAGAATTCCAATCAAATACTGATCCAAGAAAATCAAGCAGTTTTGTATAAGGCACAAACAGAATTAAAGAGTGTAAAAGAATGGACAAAGAAACACAAAGATTTAAATTGGTTCACCCAAACCACAGGGCTACATCTAGTTCTCAACCAAATTCTAGTAGAGTTCCACTAGACTAATTATGTTTCTGATTACAAACCCGAATCACAAAATGTCCAACCTACACCAAGAACCAAATTCTAGTTCTTGCACCAAACTTTCACCAAGAACCAAGTTCCAGTTCTTGAATCAAACTGTAGCTAAATTCCAGCTACAGAGTGCCCAAAACTTCCAAACACCACTCAATACAGTTTATGAATTACAAAAAACAAAGAGAAGAAACTAGAACAACCAAACCCGGTTATGCAGATGCAATTCTTCCTCTATAGAATGAGTTTCTTCACATGCAAGAATGTAAAAATGCCTCAAGAAAGAACTTTGAAAAACTTCATAGAAACTTGCGCACTTCTTCCTTGAAAAGATTTCTATTGATTGCTTGATTGATATCTCAAAGTTGGTTATTTAAAACGTTGAAGCAAATTTGTTTATATAAAGACTTTTTCTAACAAACTGGTTTAATTAATCGGTTAAAACTTCTTTAAATCGATTATTAATTCTTGATTAATTGATTAAAACTTCTTTTAATCGGTTAAAATGAGTTTGACTATTTTTCATATTTATTTTAACTGATGTAAATGCGATTTAATTGATTAAAACAATTATACAAAAATTTTCTAAGTTATTTTAATCGATTGATTCGCGGTTTAATCGATTATAACATTGCAATATAAATTCTCAAAACTCCATAAGTGATTTTAACTGATAAAAGCATGATTTAATTGATTAAAACATTTAACAAAAATTTCTCTAAGTTGATTTAATCGATTAATTCGATGTTACACCGATTAAAATTCTGGTAGAACACTTTTCAAATCATCTCAAGTGATTTTAATCGATTAATTCGAAGTTACATCAATTAAAATACTGGTAGAACACTTTTCAAATCATCTCA